TAAAGAATAGAGAAAAATGGCCTAAAAAAAAAAAGAATACAGAAATGAAGGACCCCCCCCCCCCCCCCCCATCCAGACCCTCATACACACACTACATTTTCTCCACAATTTTCGTTAGTCTTTAACATAGAACTCAGAGGACGAACAGTTTGATTTTAGTGACCAACATTATATATGCTTGCTATTTCTGATCTAAAAAGGAAAGAAAAACGTACCTCAAATGAATTCCATTTTCACTAACCTGTGAATCTAAACAAACATTACCCTAGTACACTGAAAAAACTGCAATATTTCTCAACTACAAAAATCCCATAGAATCCTTTTAATACTAATTATGACAAGTTTTCCTACATTAAATCATTCTAAATAAATCCCGTAACATGCAGCAACGGCGAACACCGTTTTATTTTTAAAAGTTACACATGCAAAACTATCGTTCTTTTCATCCCATATACAACGGCTGCCTATCTGTACTGCTTGATCAGAATTCTGTCCAACTACAACTTGTACTACGTATCTGTACCGTTTCCATGGAAACTCCTTTGCTCGTTCTTTTATTAATGATGACAAGTTTGCAGCAACTGTCGGGCAGATTTTCCCGTTATAGTCCGTCTCGGATAACTGTTTGTCTAATATTTCTTTCATTGCTCTTTCCATCTGTTTGCTAGAAAACTTATAATCCTCGCATGGATTCAGCTGAAATGTATTTTCAAGTCTGACATGTTCATGAAAATATTTCCCTCTATCATGATCAGAACTTTCAGATTTACTATCATTTCCTTTATGATCTCTTAATGTATGCCCATGGGCTTTTGTAAGCCTGCCCGGAACAGTCAGGTTTTGTCCATGCCCAGGTATATGTCCACCGCCATGTCCGTGTGTTCTCCTCATCCTCCTACCATCCATCGCCATACTTTTCCGCAATAAACAAATACTTAGTCAATATTCACTTTATAACGGAAACCAGAATGAACTTCACAATTAGATAATTTTATCTAGAAGCGTGTCAAACATTGATTAAATCCATCCATTCACCGTACCTTCGTTATATCTGTGGATTACTGAGAATTCTACCCGATAAATATCCTATGGAAAAACTGGCGTAAAATCATCGATTCTGATCCTCAATTCGTGATCACAACCTTCTATTTGCCGATACAAATGGGTTTTATGAAGTATTTATGAATGACAGCCTTAATTATATTGACTTAGTTGAAATGTATACATAATCTTATTTTACAGATTGTTTCTTACTGTTAAATCTTATTTTCTACGCAGGTAAAGAGATAATTATAAGAATATAGATTTTTTTCGTGTGTGTACAATGACAATTGTTATTTTCTGAATTGGCTGGTAATTAATAAACATAACTTTTCCATTTTCTGCTTTTTTCATAGCAATACGTCATTCAACAACATTTTATTGAAGTTTTATTGGGTTTGTTGAAGGAATGGTTCAATAATGCACCATTTTATTTTGAGTTTGTATTGTGTAATTGTTAACCCGAAGCTGCATGCCTGAAACAAATACTTGGAACTTAATGCAGACTAAGGTATATATCCATTGCACAAATGAAGGGAATGGGGTAGGTCCTTTCCCTTTTGTTTCAAATTTCTGTACTGTTGCCTTATATTCCTTCATTTCGTGTGATGTCGCCAGATCAGATCAGTTAGTTGAAAACAACAGCGGATTACAATGGTGTTGAACAGGCAGGGATATATATGAATCTAACAACTTCAAGTGTTGACAGAGGGGGTCTAGGAGCTTAGGCGATTTTATTCATATTTTTATCTGATTATTTTTATCAATATTTTACGTGATAAAGGAAAGTCCAACGAAAAAATGATTTGTTACGACAATCCCCGGTACACCCTTTAATCTCCCACTGTCGAAACTGCAACACCATACTGTTACTGTCATACGATTGAACCAGTGATATCTTTACAAATATTACAACGAACTTTTACGATGAGATCAGGGAAAAGGGAGGGGGGTCATTACACATATTGTTATTGAACAAAATCCTATTTTGGATTTTACATCAGTAACATAATTCTTAATTCTTGATAAAATAATTTTAATTTCCAATTCTTAATAAAAACAATTCTTAATTCTTACTCAGTCTTTTTATCGAATCCATACACGAACATGACTATGTTTGTTTCCCGAGTCTGCCATCTAGACCAAAATTCTTTAAAATATTTAAAACATCGAACAATTATGCCGATCAATTATTTCTATTTAAGGCAAATTAGATTTAATTGTCTTGTTATACTATGTCTATATTAATGAATTCTGAATGTATTCAAATAACAATGATCATAGTCTCTATAGTGAAATCAGTCTCTATAGTGAAATTGATTTTTAACCCCCTGCTTCGAACTTTTGATTTGAGATTCCTCTATTCCGTAGCTATTATTAATTAAGTTTATTTCATGCCTCAGACATTATTGACAGGTTAAATGTTATATTGTCCTCGGGTAGAATAACAAAATACGCCTTGGGACTATAGCTGATACGTTGTTACACATTGTGTAAATAAACCATTGAAAGCAAGCAGCTTAGCAGCTCAGTGGCGGATCCAGAACTTTTCATAAGGGGGAAGGGGGGGGGGGGGAGGGCGCTAACTGACCTAAGGGGGCCCCGCTCCAGTCATGCTTCAGTGATTTCCTATATAATCAACCAAATTTTTCCCACGAAAGGGGAGCCCGGGCCCCCAGCCCTCCCCCTGGATCCGCCTATGTAGCTTGCAAGCATATATCACATTATTATACTTTACTTTACTGGTCCCCACAAAAAGAAAGTGAATGAGTTATTTGACAGATGTGTGAACGAATGAGGTATTTAAACGACGAATGAATGACTTGCCTTTTTATGATATTTAATACATAAAGTTAGTTTAGTAAGTTGGTTAGAATGGTTCATTGGTTTATAACCAGTAGAAGTCAGCTATAGTAACTGTGAATTTCATAAGATTATGTTATATTCAACTTTCCTACATCTCTGACAGATAATTTAAAATGTCCTCTGTCCGACAGTAATACTTACAATGCCACTTATAGTCAAAATTAGATTTGTAGATTAAATGTTGAAGACACATTCAAATGTAATAAAAGTATAATTGCTTTCATAAATAGGTTACTGTCAAATATCTCCAACAATTGATCTCGTAATCGTCTGATTTGAATCTATGTTTAACATGACCAGTGAGAAATGATTTGAAAATAGAATTAAATGTAGGTCTAGAACCTTCCAGTTCAGAAAAGTCGAAGAGAAATTGTTTCAATTTCAGTCTCTTATCATTTTCATATGAAATTTTAAAAAAAATATTCAGCGCTGCATGTTTGGTGTTATTTCAGAGTACAACATTTTCTGTTCTGTTAACCAACTGTCAATTTGCTTATAACATATAAAATCAAAGAAGACCATTTTATTCCTTTTTAGATGCAATGGTTAATTGGAATTTTTGTTTGATCGTTTGTTAATCCAGTGGCATATAGTTCATGCATTTTCATCTTTTTTGTAAAACTTTTATAAACGGACTATCAAGAAGTACATAAGGTGAGGGTCTAGAAGTAAACCTACAAGCTGGTGGTCCATTTGGGACTGAATCAGTCGAATGCAACTCTTACATTATCACTCCAACGCCACAATATCGTGTATCTATTTTAATTTATTAAAGTATGCTTTTGGTTGTTTTAAGCTCATAACAATATCATAATATTTACATATCTCAAAACATACAGATTTTTCTTCAAATATCCCAAAATGATGTGCACGTCTTCTTTTATTATTTGTGTTTTTCTTTTTTTACTTTTGATTACTTTTGATTAAAGTAATTGTTACAAGATTTGCCTCTCGATCAGATATAAACATCACAATACGAAAAGTTTCGAAGCCGATGATCAAATTCTCCATTTTAAAGAAAATCTGTTTTTCGATGCAGCTTTTTGACATAATACAACCAGAGGCATATACAAACATATGTCTCTGATACTACCATATTCTACAGTCGCGATACCATTTTTGTCCATGTAACTCGTGAAAAAAATTGAAATAATCAATCCAAATAAACTGCAAAGCATGTTGCCATTGCAAATATTGTTTTGTTCTCATATGAGGCAGAGGCAAAAGTATCACGATGTTCATCCCATATGCATCTGCTCCCAACTTTTATTGATGTATTCGTGTTCTGTCCTAAGATAACATGAACTATGAACCTATACCGTTTCCATGGAAATATTTTGGCTCTGTCTTTAATTTGATTGGATAAAGTATGCACTAGAGTATTGCAGGTGACGGAGTCGTAAGTTGAGTCGCCGATTACTTCTTCCATAATCTGTAGCATTGCTTTTTCCATCTTAGAGCAGGAAAATAGTTCGTCGTCCTTTGGTTCTAGTCGGAAAGTATTTTCGTACTTAACTCCACGCTTAAGTGACCTCATCATGTCCATACTATCCAAGTCAGACGACATTGACCTTTCTCTTGCCTGAGCATGGATACTCAGTTTGCTTCCTGTCCCTCTAGCTCTAGAGTTTTTACCTGTAGACTTTTTCCAATCTGTTTTTGTTAAAGATTTTGATCCTCTCCGTTCTAACACAGTGTCCATTATATTGTCTGGTATTTTGTGATTCGACATTTTTCACTACTCAAGATTCGAAACTTAAGTTTAATGTACTAAATCCAAGTAAAATCTCCACAAAATGAGTAAAATTCAGTGCGATCTAGATTTTAACAAATATAATCTGCCTTAAAACAAACATAATTATAATGACGCACAGAAAACAGATAAAATGCTCACGAAAAAGTGTTTATTTGTTGTCTAACAATATTAGAAGAATATGCATTGATCCATTCCAGTAAGTTTGACTTGTATGTTAAATTAGTTACCAATACAGATGTAATCTGAAACCGTGCCATTTTGATTTTTCTTGTTAGCAATATTAAGGTCTTTTGATGGTAATCAATAACTCCAGCAGTTACTTGTAACAGAGCATCATCAAGGATATATATTTAAGAGGGGACAAGATCTAATCAGTTAAGGTGTTTTAGGCATTTTAAAACTTTTTTTAACTGTTATTTTGAAAGTATATGTGCTGTTAACTGTTATTGCCTAATTAGCTGTTATCTATTTTCTTAAAATTGACACTGTTGTTAACTGTTATTGTGAAAAAATGACCCCTGTTAAAACTTTTTTTTTTTTATTTACTGTTTTCTGTTTTCTCATTTAAGATGATTTAAATTGCTGTTATCGGTTATCAGTTACTGTATTTTAAATTAACTGTTGTTATTTGTTTTGAGCAAAATCAAAATTATTAACCTGTTTATTGACCCCCTCTTGCCCCCCTCCAATTTAAGTACAGGGGCTGATCCAGGATTTTCGAAAGGGGTCGGGAATTTTTTTGGACGAATTTTGTTTTATCGGGAAAACATGAGATTTTTTTAGGGCGATCAAAGGGGGTGTACGCCCTCTACCACCCACTACCCCCTTGGATCCGCCATTGAATTATGTACATTGTATAGAAACATAGAACAATCGCTGGGAACGCAAGATGCTCTAGGGAAACAAGTCTGGTAGAAAGTAGCATTTGTGATTTCGATCGGCTTAAGAACGGATAGATTTTCTCCCAAAGAAGTAACATCGAGTCACACAAATTCTTTCCTTTTATCAAAAGTGAGAATAATTCCAATAATAGCTTGGAATGACCCACGTTTGTGATCAATCCAAATATTTTATCATTCAATGTTTGTTTTGGTAACTGATATGAACATTATCCATTCTAACAGTACGGATTACAACGTAAGGTTAAAATTGTTCTAATTATTAATGTTACGTATACATTGCTATGAGTTTTTCAAAAAAGGACTTCACGGGTAGTAAGGTTGTCATATCGAGGAGCGTTTAGTACAGTGATATTGTCATAGTTTGGTTAAGTTGATCATGGTTTGGTTAAGTTACTTCCCAGAACGAATGCCTAAGTTCTTTTCAAATGAACAAAGAAAAAGCAAATAAGATGTTTGAATCTATATTGTAAGTCAAACGATCTACATTGAAATTGTTGTTTTTAAGAAATTAACGCAGGATAACCAAAATATCGAAATTGCTATGGTTTGGTTAAACGATTTACAGGGTTCAGTTAAGAGTCTTGAAATTCGTCATGGTTTTGATCAAATTTGTCATGGTTTAGATCCAAATAAAAACATATTTGTTTCACCTTAATATTAATAGTTTGTTTAAAGGCGCTTGTGAAAAAACGAAGTTACACAATTTACCAATTGAATAAGAAGAAAAAAAAACCTTTTTAACCAAATTTGGTGGGCATAATCGGCAAACCGTACATTTTACATATTTACTTTTCGTGTGTTTCCTAAGATAGAATTAATATAGCCGCTGCTCTTTTTAAACTGGCATTCAATCAAACAAGTTTCTTCTGTTTAACCTAGAATCTTTTCTCCGTGTGTCCATAATGGACTGTTAAAAAAAGATGTGGGGGTTGTATGCCTATGATACAGTAACCCAACTACAAAACTAACCAAACGATATCGAGAGGGCACCAAACAGTCTTCAACTCCTCTCCACGGGACACAATGTTAACATGGACAACAGTTAAAACTTATTTTTTTAATAAACTATAAATGAAATAACTATGAAAACTACTTACAAAGTTCCGAATCTAAATATATGAAAGATTACAATTTCGAATTAGAATTAGGTTGATATAATGTCCATTTTTATAAATTATTATTACCAATGAATAAAAATGATTATGTTTTTGTCATATTGTAAAAATGTATTGTGTGGTCATGATCACTTAACACGTTTAAGCTTTTTTCTTTCATGCAATATAGTTTCGATAATATCAGAAAAAGCGCTGTCGATCCAGTATTTGGTATGAGAAATTGTACATTATTAAATGCGATTGAAAAAAAAAAATTATTTAAATTCCAAGATGCACGTGTTATTTTGTTTGGTACAAGTACATTTAAACTATTTGACCCGACAAGACAAGAAGTCATCGTTCTTACTAGCAGAGAATAAGATGGATGAAGATGAATATTGGCAGCAAAATTTCATTCTGAAATTAAAAAAAAAAAGTAATATATTGTCTTGGATTCATGATTTTTTATTAGTTGTTTTGGCTTGGAACTAACTTCCAGTAAATGCGAGTACTCACAGGTTGGTTATTTGTGCCTTTGGTGTTTATGTTACTTGATTATTTTGCTTTGTAACGATTCGATGAGTCAAGTCCTTATCAACTGATTTAAGGTTAAGGCGAGGAGAGGTTGGTAGCCCGCAAACATGTTTAACCCCGCCATATTCTGTATGCGCCTGTCCCAGGTTGAGAGTCTGTAATGAAGTTGGCTGTCTTTTGTTACTGTATGTCATGTTTATTTTTCGCCTATTGTTTTGAACATAAATCAGGCCATTGGTTTTCTCATTTGAATTGCTTTACGTTTAATTTGTCGGAGCCTTTTATTCCTTTCTAAGAAGTATGGGTTTTGTTTTTTGTTGAATGGCGTACGGTGACCTATAGTTGCTAACATCTACGTCATTTGGTCTTTGGATGATTGTCAGATTGGCAATCATACAGGTTGCAGTCTTGTAATTGACTGCTCCATAGGCTTACATGCAAAACAGCTGACCTTAATAAAATACTACATAGAAAATTGTTTTCATGTACTTATCATGTATGTATTAATGTGAAATTGTGATTTAATCGAAAAAAAGTTCCTCATGCCACGAAGAATAAAAAGTTATGAAACTCTAAAGTCAAAACTATTTTTTTCTTCTTTCTGTTTGCTGTTTTTACTAGGCCGCACCACTTACAGTAAACAAACATGATATCCTTCCACTTTCCTGGTTTGATATCCCAAAAAAGATGCAATTTTTTTTAAAATCTAAATATATGTTTCAATTCAGCATAAACTTTTAACCAAACAGAATAAATTTAGTCCAGAAAAAAAATCAGAAAAAAATGGACTATCTTATTTCACTCCATGTTTTGACATGCACCGGAAACTGGAGTTGTAATACAAGACTGGTACCTACAGCATTTACTTATTATATATTACTATGTACTTTCTTAGGTCCCTTGTATTCCAAATAAAATTACTTTTAAAGAAAATTGCCTTTGAAATGCATTAATATTTTATCCTCGTGATTTCTTTATACATGCTTGTTCTATAATGATAACTATAATGATGATATCTTGAATTAACTGTAGACACCTTATTTTCTTGGGCGATGTATTTTCGCGAGTAGAATATCAACGTAAATATGTGAAGCTTATATCTACTCGTATGGGAACAAAACAACAACATTAGAAAATGGCGACAATATATTGCCTCAAAATAGAATAGAATGGGTTAAACGCGAGAAAAATTCAATAGTTGTATAATGTCTGTTTATTTTGATAGTTACTCTTCCATCATACACGACAGGAATCACAGAACTAAACCATGTCGAACATGAACTAAACCATGACACTACTGAACCAAACCATGACACCATTTTTCAGTATTCTTAAATTGTGTGCAAATGTAGCTATTTTTCAGAATAATTGACGACAAGTTTAAATATGTGATGCAACAGACAGTAAACAAATCGCCCAGTTTCTTTATGCATAAGAAACGAATAACAACTTTTAAATTTTGACATACGCAAGCTTTATTCAGTGTCAAATTATTAACTATATGATACAAATTTTAATGTACTAACATATTAGTTATAGTTAAAGATACTTACCAGCTTGAATTTATGTTCAGAAGTTCCTTTAGCAAAAAATCCGAATGTTCATATTGTGTCATTGTTTGTCAATAAAAACACTTAACACAATCATGTCTAACTTAACCAAACTATAACAAAATCGCTGTACTAAAAGCTCCTCGATATGACGACCTTACTACCCGTGAACTTTAGATAGAGGTTGAGAGGAGCATAGTCTTCATGGTTTTTTATTTTTTTTTAAATACCTCTTTTCACTAGAAGTTGCATTTTATGAGGCTCGGATTTAGTCAAAATTATTGTATTTAAGTAGCTCCTGAAATATTCCACCAGCTCCATAATTATAATTCAGGGTATCCATAAATCATTGAGGTCCTCCTGAAATATTATTGAACCTCCATAATTCATTTTAGGTATTCTTATATTGTGGAGTTCCAGTAATATGTGTAGACCTCCATAAATATTTAAGGATATCTTGAAATAGAATTGTGGAGGTCCTGAAATATATAAGTATGCAGCTCCATAAATATTAAGAATATCGTAATATATTTAAGGACTCCCTGAAATATTTATGGATGTCCTAAATTAAAGCAATTTAGACCAAATATTTGTTAAGGGCCTGACATATTTTAGGATATCCGAAAATCGAATTATGGAGGTACTGAAATCGATCGAATTATTGAGGTCCTGAAATGTTTCAGGATATTCTGAAATCATATTACATAGGTCCTGAAATATGTCAGGATATCCTAAAAATCGAATTACTGGGGTCCTGGAAATATTTCAGGAGGTCCTCAATGATTTATGGATATCCTGAAATTGAATTATTAATGTCCTGAAATATTTAAGAAGCTCTTTACATTTGATAATTTTGACCTAATCAGCGCATCATATTCATTTGACTTCAATGAAACGGTCATGTATCTGTCACCGGTATATTGTTTTTTTTTTAAATTTGAACTTTTACATTAAATATTAACAGAAATTGGCAAAATTGCTATGAAAAATATCAAGGTGAAGAAAATTAAGTTAGCATAAAGCATGTATCTGTAGTATTATTGACGGTCTTCTTTTCGGTATCTTTGGAAGATGCAGTTTTTAATACACGAGCGCGCCCGGGGATAGTTGTATAATCTTCTCAATTTCCTTGACAGGCCAATAAAGATGTTTTTAAGTATACCCGTATAAATTATTTAGTGGGTTTTTTGGATCATCATAGTAAAGAACGTTATCTAAATAGTATATTATAGATTTATCAAAGTTACCGCATACATCAATCATTGATAAGGGTAAAAGGGGAACGACTGCTGTAATTTCT